GGCCTCAGCAGCCTGCATGTTGGGCGGCGCGAAGCGCGAGAGCACGCGCAGCAGCGCCTGGGCCTTGTGCTCCTGCGTGTCGTCGTCGCTGTAGTCCGACACGCGGCACTCGTACACGCCCTCGTCCTGCAGGCGCACGGCCGACAGCCGAAGCCGGTGCGAGATGTCATTGCCCTGGACGCGCACCGTCTGCAAGAGAGCGGGGTTAGAGCCCGGGCTGGCAGTGCCCAGACCTGCTTTTAGGGTTGGAACTGTCAGCGCCCCAACCCTGCCACCGCGCCCCCGCACTTCCTTTCCTCCTCCGCCCCCCCATCGTGTGGGAGCTCCCAGCCCTACTTGTCACTGTGTTCCACACCCACTGCCTTGAGCTCCCCTTTCCTCATCTTACTGGATGCCCCATCTTGCATACCCCTCCCACCCCGCCCCGGCCTGCACGCCTGACTTTCTCATCTTTCGGGAGCTTTCCCTTCCCCATCCTTCGACCTTCAAAAATCCTCAGGCCGGGCCTCTGTTCGCTAAGGGTCCATGTCTTTCCAAGTACGTACTCCAGCCCATCGCCCCGGACTCCGGCCCTCCCAAGGAGACAAGCAACGCCTTGCTGCTGCCTGCCCCCCTGGCCTCCTGCTAGGAATCAGCCTCTCCGGTAAGCTGACGCGAGCCTACTACAAAGCGCTCCTCTGCGGACCGGTGGCAGCAAGGGAACGAAGCACTCAGTGGCCCTCGCCAAGCACCCAGGGAGGCCCTGGCCTCTGCACAGAGTCCGGGAGGAGCCTTTCCTGATCTCCAGGCCCAGCTACTTCCGCGCCCCAGCTGGGAACACTTGGGTGCGTCTCCTCCGGACCTGGGCCCTGCACAGCTCGGAGAAACTGCCAACCATCCCACCCTGCAGGAGACTTCAATGCTTAGTGCTCGGCGGAGGGAGCCGGCGCAGGCAGTGGCGGGGCGCCCGGCCTCTGTGCTGGGCGGTGCAGTGGGGGTGGAAAACAGCCACGCGGGTCGCGGCGAGGGCGAGCAGCAGCGCGCTCGCGGCGCTGGGAGAAGCTGCAGAGGAAAGGCGAGCAGATGCAGCAAACGACACGCGGTCCCGGGGAAGAAGTGTTTACAGGTGAGACGAGGGCGAGCAGCAGCGCGCTCGCGGCGCTGGGAGAAGCTGCAGAGGAAAGGCGAGCAGATGCAGCAAACGACACGCGGTCCCGGGGAAGAAGTGTTTACAGGTGAGCGTCCAGCCGAGTTGGGGGAACTCAAGCCTTGGACCCTTGATTTACACAAAAGTGACCCTGACCCTGCTACCGGCGACAGGTGGCGCCCAGACTTGCCGAGCAGCCAACAATGCCAGGCCGCCACGCACCGCCGGAGAGGCGCGTTAAAGGGGAGGGAGCTGCGCAGCGCTAAGCGGCCGGAAGGGGGCTCCCGCGGCCCACGCTGGGCTCCACACTTACGCTGATTTTAGTTGCATCCTTATTTGTTACCTAAAATGCAAAGGGGAGGGAAAGACATTAAACTGGTGGTATTTGGACTTAAGGAACTCAGACCCGCCTGCAGTCAGGGCACCCTACGCGGGCTGGCTGGTCCCCGACAATTCTTGGAGTTGGAGGGGGCTGAAGGCCCAAAAGATGCCAGGATTTTTAACAGTTTGTTAGGAAGGAAGCCGAATTTGGAGCAAGCAAGAGTGCTAGGCAAGATGTGGCTACCCTAGCACGCACCTGCCACCGGAAGAGGGTGGCTGGGTTGCCAGTGAGGGAGTGGCCCATCTCTCGCCCGCAGAGCACCCGCATTGCCTGCCCAGTTTCTCCAAATCGTCATTTTAATTAATTAGGAATTGTGAAAAACTGGATGGAAGGGTCGGTGTGTCTGCACAGGACCGGATGGTAGTCATGAGCAGTAACTCTCAGTGGGACACTGGGGAGAATGTAGGTAGGTGTGCAAGTGTGAGTGTGCGTGCTGGAGTGCGTGTAAGAGAACATGGGTGATAAGGCAGACGCGGTGTTCAGCCACAGGGAAGCCGGCTCTCAGGTGCTGGGGAAGCTAGAGGTGACCTGGCTTCCCCGTACAGGGTTCTCTGCCGGCCTCTGGAACGCAGCCCGGAGGAATTTAACTCGTTGGCCCTGTGCCCTGAGGGAACTCAGAGTGGCAGAGGGCAAGGAGAGACTGGTGGGATCAAGCTATTTCCCCTCTCTAACCAGCACTCCGTCGGAAGCTAGTCCGGCAGCAAGCAAGAAAAGGCGAGCTGGATGAGGTGTCGGATTTGGGGGGCTAGGTGTGAATGGAGTTCTGGGAGGTTGCAGAAGGGAAACTCAAAAACAATCGGCAGGATTTGAGGAAAACAACCTCTGACTGGGAAGATGCTGTGGGGATGCCGAGGGTGGGCTTCGAGACAGGGAGGCACCCTGCGTCCGTGAACCCCGCTGCTGCCTTATTCCCGGGGTAACCCTCTCCGCCCCCGGGCCTGAGCCGGGTGAGCGCCGGCGCCGCGTGGGCGGCGGGTTACCTTGATCCTTGAGATACCACCACTGAATCTCCAACGAATACGAGGTGGCTCCACTGGCCCGGAACGCGCAGGGCATTTCGATGTCGTCTCCCTCCCGTACCGTCACATCTTTGGGGACTTCGGTGAATGTAGCTGGGGGCGGGGGAGAGAGAGGCGTGACCAGCTGCAGGGCGGGGGCTTGGGGCAACCCGAGGCGAGGCGGTCGGTCTCCCGCTCGCTCGCTTGCTGGCCTTGGGCTCCCCCTCTCCCCAGCTGCTGCGTGCTCCACGGCCCGAGGCGCCAGCAAAGTTCAACGGAGCAGCTGCAGGGCGGG